GGTCCAGGTGGTCGGAGCGGGTGAAGCTCTTGTAGCAGAACTCGCACTGGTAGGGCCGGACCCCCGTGTGGATGCGCATGTGGTTCTTCAGGTCGTAGTTGTGGACAAATTTGGCGTTGCAGTGGATGCACAGGTAGGGCCGCTCCCCCGTGTGCTTCCGCATGTGGATCTTCAGCTTGTCCTGCCTGCAAAATGAAGCGTCGAATCAGCGCGGGGTTGGAAGGGACCTTCAAAGGGCACCCAGTCCAGCCCCTTCCTGCAGTGCACAGGGATGGTTTTAACTACAGCAGGTTGCTCGCAGCCCTGTCAAGCCTGACCTGGAATGTCTGCGTGGATGGGGCAGCCACCACCTCTCTGGGCAACCTGGGCCAGTGCTTCACCACCCTCCTGGTAAAGGGCTTCTTCCTAATAACCAACCTCAATCTCCCCTCTTTCAACTTGAAACCATTCCCCCTCCTCCCATCCCTCCCTGCCCTTGTCCCAAGCCCCTCCCCAGCTTTCCTGGAGCCCCTTCAGGCACTGGAAGCTGCTCTAAGGTCTCCCTGGAGCCTTCTCTTCTCCAGGCTGAACACCCCAACTCTCCCAGCCTGGCTCCAGAGCAGAGCTGCTCCAGCCCTCCCAGCATCTCTGTGGCCTCCTCTGGACTTGCACCAACAATTCCATGTCCTTCCTGTGTTGGGAACCCCAGCACTGGACACAGCAAGGCACTTGGTCAGATGGAGTGGTCTGGAAGGGACAAAGTTGGGATTGTCCCTTGGATCAGGAGAGGGAAAGGCAACAGGAATGTGGAGAGCTCATCCCAGGGCTTCCGCCCACAGAACTGCCCCAGCGTATGGATGCTCTTGCAGTTTGGCACTTGTATCCACCTCCTCTTTCCCGGGACAACAGCGTCTGAATATTGAGCAGATCCAAGCCTCCATGTCAGGAGTTTCCAGCCCATCCCAAAGATTCCAAACCAGCCTAAATCAGAGGAACAAAAACCCCTCTGGAATGAAGATGAAATCCATGAAGTAACATCTAAATCAGTACACCTATATTAGTGCCTGCAGACAAGGAAATCAGCTGAGCTTGTGGGGCAACGCTCCTCGAACAACATCCTTCCTGGGGCTGGTTCTCCCTTTCGTTTTATCCTTGCAGTGACCACTGGGTGTCTCAGGAGATTTCCTTTGAAGCAGGAGCACGGCTGAGGGCGAGGCAGGCAGAGGCAGAGGCAGCACCCTGGCAGCTTTGCACCCACTGTCCTCCCCTGCCGGCTTCCCCAAGGCCACCACATGCACATCCAGCCTCAAACACATTTTGGAGAAGGTTTCTCAAGACAACCATGGAACTGCATCATGCCCATCCCGCCAGCACTTCTCGACAAACGCAGTTTTGTTTTTTTCATAGAATCACAGGCTGGTTTGGGTGGGAAGGGGCCTTCAAAGGCCATCCAGTCCAACCCCCTGCAGTAAGCAGGGACATCAACTAGATCAGGTTGCTCAGAGCCCTGTCCATCCTAAGTTGGGATGTTTCCAGGAATGGGGCATCTCCCACCTCTCTGGGCAACCTGGGCCAGGGTCTCCCCAGCCTCAGCATGAAAAATGTATTCCTTCTCTCCAGTCTCAATCACCCCTCTTTCACCTTAAAACCATTCCCTCCCATCCCATCCCTCCCTGCCCTTGTCCCAAGTCCCTCCCCAGCTTTCCTGGAGCCCCTTCAGGCACTGGAAGGTGCTCTAAGGTCTCCCTGGAGCCTTCTCTTCTCCAGGCTGAACACCCCAACTCTCCCAGCCTGGCTCCAGAGCAGAGCTGCTCCAGCCCTCCCAGCATCTCTGGGGCCTCCTCTGGACTCTCTCCAGCAGCTCCATGTCCTTCCTGTGCTGGGGACCCCAGAGCTGTTCCCAGCCCTGCAGGGGGGTCTCAGCAGAGCAGAGCAGAGGGGACAATCCCCTCCCTGGCCCTGCTGGCCACACTGCTTTTTATAAAGGGAACATCTAGAAGCAGCAAGAATTACCTTCTCAGCTTGGGGTATATATGGAGTCATGTAATTATTATTACTTATAAAACATCAGAGCATAAAACTAAACCCAAACAACAACCACCCCAAAAATATATTGACACCAGGAGATCAAGCCCTCACATCTTGCAAGGTCCTGCCTTTGCCCTAATTTCTGCCACCCCATCCTTTTACCTCTCAAAACAGTTTTTGGTGCCCCTGCCCAGGGCCAAACCCCAACTCTGCAGTATTCCAAGATGCTGTTATCCCAGGGTTTGAACACGTTTCCCCGGTGACAAAGCAGTGTGGAAAAGATCATCCCAGTCGGGTAGGTGGTGAGGAGATGAAGGCAGGGGCTGGTTCTGTGAAGTGCTGGGAAGTGTTAATAAAAAGTAGAGCTACCAGCCCCACCTCAAATAGAATTTCAACCTCTATATGTCATGTTTATCCTAACAGGGTCGCTTTTCTGAATAAACACGGAGCGCGTCGGGATTGTCAAATGTAAATACAGGGATTATTACCCATCGACAGGGAGAAACTCAATCCTCTCTGCTCCAGCACCAGCTCCGTGGGATGGACGAAAGGTTTTATGGCTCTGCCTGGAGAACCTCTGAGATTAGGGGGAGGGTGGGATGTGGTGAAGCACCCGAGGGAGGTTTTCTGGGAATGGAGCTGGGCTGGAAAAGCTCTTAGAAGGAGAACCCCGCTCCGGGTGTGTGAATAACCTTAATGGAATTGCATTAGGAGAGCGATTAGGGCTCTGGGAGCTGTCACAACACAAATAATGGGAACAAATAATGTTAACCTTTCTGGCTGGAATAGTTTCTCCTTGAACACTCCGGGGTTGTCTTGCTGGAAAAGCTGGAATATTTGCAGTTTTCTCCAGCGTTTTAGCCGCGGAAAGAGGCAGATGAGAAGCTGAGCAGCTTTTGTTTAAGGAACAAAAAATTAATGAGCTATCAAATGAAGTCCTGCTTCCTGTGATCAGATGTCTCTGGGAGAGGGAAGCAGCAGGTATAGGTGCACATTGGGGTCCTCACCATGGGATGTGGGATCCCAGTGAAGTGAAGGGAAAGGGATCTGATGGGAAGGTTGCGGCACTCCCCACCTGGGAAAATACATTTCCCCCAGTGAATTGGCTCCTCCACAGTTCCTTGAGCAGGAAAATAATGGGAAGGACTGATTTACCCAGAAATCCCATTTGGGAACCTCTGCTTCCTGGCACCCTCATCCCTGGGGGACCTCAAGAGGGGATTGTTTGGGTTTGCATCTCCCTGGTGAATGCACCACTTGTGGCTGTGGGTGTGAGGCTGATAATTTTGGGAAGCATGAGATGATTCTCCTGTTCTACTCCGCTCTCCTGAGACCCCACCTGGAGTAACTGTGTCCAGTTCTGGAGCCCCTAACACAGGAAGGACATGGAACAGTTGGAGAGAGTCCAGAGCAGGCCACAGAGATAGTAAGAGGGACGGAGCAGCTCTGCTCTGGAGCCAGGCTGGGAGAGTTGGGGTGTTCAGCTTGGAGAAGAGAAGGCTCCAGGGAGACCTTAGAGCAGCTTCCAGTGCCTGAAGGGGCTCCAGGAAAGCTGGGGAGGGCTGTGGCTGCCCCATCCCTGGCAGTGTTGAAGGGCAGGTTGGATGGGGCTTGGAGCAACCTGGGCTGGTGGGAGGTGTCCCTGCTCATGGCAGGGGTGGGACTGGATGGTCTTGAAGGTCCTTTCCAACCCAAACCAGTCTGGGATTCTATGGTCCTGTGATTATCCCTGAGAGCAAAACACGTTATGCAAGTGGTGGATTTCAGGAAACCCCAGCAGAAATCCCTGTCTCCATCTCAATCACTCCATGTTGCTTAAATACACTTTCCCCTGAAGGAGTGCTCTCTAATGCAGAAAACAGGGTAAAAACAACCCTCAACCCGTGAAGGAAAGCCAAACCCACTGCACCCTGTTCAAAATCCGTCCAAATGCATTGAAAAATAAACCAAGGCTTTGAAATTTCCACTTTGCTCAGGGTGTTAAAGAAGCTAAAACCCCCTCCTGCCTCCAGCTCTGTGCAGGGTGACCCAAAAAAACAGATTCATTTTCCTGAGTGATGATGGGCAATGGGACCACTGGGTCAGTCTGAAATCTCTTTGTGAATATTTTCATGGGTTGAAGTTCTCCTCACCCCTGTGCTTTGCATTTAGAAGCTGTTGAGAACATGATGGGGATGTAGAAGCTATTTGGGTTAGTAATGGGCCACACCAGACCATCCATGTGTGGAGATTTGAATCTCCAAGAAAGTGATTTAACTTCTGAGGATTAGGGATAAGGTTATCTGAAATCCCACCTGAACCCTCCTGCTAACCTTTGCAGTAACTCTGAGTCAGTAGCAACATTCCTCTGTGCCTCAGTTTCCCCAAACCAATGATGCTGCCCATGCTTAGAAAGGACTTTGGGAGCTCTAGTGTCCCCATTACAGGGAAGGTGTTGGTGAACAAGGAATCCCAGACTGGTTTGGGTTGGAAGGGACCTTCAAGATCATCCAGTTCCAGCCACCCTGCATGGGCAGGGACACCTCCCACCAGCCCAGGTTGCTCCAAGCCCCATCCAACCTGCCCTTCAACACTGCCAGGGATGGGGCAGCCACAGCTTCTCTGGGCAACCTCATCCACCACCCTCACAGTAAATTTCTTCCTAATCTCCCACCTATATCTCCCCTCTTCCATATTTAATCCATCCCCCCTTGTCCTCTCTCTCCCTGCCCTTGTCCCAAGTCCCTCCCCAGCTTTCCTGGAGCCCCTTCAGGCACTGGAAGCTGCTCTAAGGTCTCCCTGGAGCCTTCTCTTCTCCAGGCTGAACACCCCAACTCTCCCAGCCTGTCTTGAGACACCTGAAAGTTAGGTCCCTATGCTATGCCCCACAGGTTGCCTCTGTGGTCAGGGATGACACCTTAACTCATCTCTTTTTCTTCATCTACCTCTCTGAGGGTGATGACCTCTTTCTGCTGACCATGGTTGGTGCCAGGCTCTGGGGCAGACAATGTTCAGGGTGATGAATCACAGCATCATTTATGTTGGAAAAGACCTTTAAGATCACCCAGTCCAACCACTCCCCCAGCCCTGCCCAGGCCACCCCTGCCCCATGTCCCTCAGCACCACATCTACACGGCTTGGAAACCCCTCCAGGGATGGGGACTCCAGCCCTGCCCTGGGCAGCCTGGGCCAGGGCCTCACAACCCTGGCCAGCAAGAAATGCTGCCCAACATCCCATCTCAGCCTCCCCTGGCACCACTGCAGCCCATTTCCTCTTGTCCCATCCCTTGCTCCTTGGGAGGAAAAACCAGCCTCCACCTGGCTTCCACTGTAGAACAATTAGTACTGCACCATCCTCAGAAAGCCCAGACACTGTCATGGCTAAACATGTGGAACTTGGTTCTGGTCCACACTTCTGCCAAAATGTGCAGACCCAAACTAATTACATCCCGCAGCTAAATGGCCCTCCCACCTCAACGCAACTCCCAGCACATTAAAGATAAAGCCTCCCTGGCTGCTTGACCAGCTGTTTTCCAGCTCTCTCTGGTCCAACTGTGGTGAACTATGGTGGGGTTGAAAATATCCTGTTACTTATTTAAGCTCTTGTCCGGTGAGGGGAAGGATCCAGTGAGTTGTGGATATGACCCACAACCCACCAAAATCAGTAGGTTCGTGTTCTTCCTCCACCCTCTCTTCCTCCCTTTTCTTCCAAAGGGAGAAAGATCATGCCCTGCTTCCTTTGCTACTGTTTTTTTTCAGTAGCAAAGAGACGTTTAGCTTAGAAATCGGGTCCTGACGTGGCCCCTCCAACCACCACCCCCCACCCTTCCCCTGATGGCAGAGGTGACCCCCACCCACCTGGTGAACTGGACTTCACAGATATTGCACATATAGGGCTTCTCTCCCGTGTGGGTCCTCATGTGCCTGGGCAGCTTGCCAGCTCCCATTATGATTTTGTTACAGATGGGACATTGTTGGGATGCCTTGGGCTTCATCTTCCTCTCTTCCTCCAAGGGCCATGGAGGAAAAACTTCTCCAAACTGGGTTGTGCTCAGGAAGTTGAGATAAGCACTGTAGTCAGTCTCTGCCTTGATGTGCCCCAAGGGAGCTGCTGGGGTGTTGGTAAACATGTCCTTGAAGAAGCCATTAGGGAAAGGAGGCGGAGGTAGGTCTTCCTTCTCCTCCTCTTCCTTGATCTTCCTCTTTCTGATCACCAGATCCAAGGGCCCATTGTCTACTGGTGGCTGCTCGAGCTGGGAGAAAGAGCTAAAATCACCGTTCCAGAGATGGGGGAAGAAGCTAGGGGTGAAAGGAGAGAGAGGTGGCATCCTTTCTGGGATGTTGGCCTTCAGGTACAAGTTTTCCCTTAGCAAGGACTCAATGGAGAAGTCTCGTATGACACCCAAGTGTCCAGAGGTGTTACTGGCCTGGTAGTGATTTGGAAAGTCTTTAGGTGCTTCTGTATATGCTTCTTTGGTAAGATCAGACTTAGAAGGGCTTTGGTGGCAGCTGACTTCTTGGACATCAGTTAGGTTCTCCTGATTGGCAAAATCTTCTACTTCTTCTTCCTCCTCTTCCTCCTCCTCCTCGTCTTCATCTTCGTCATCGTCTTCATCCTCTTTGTCATCTTCCTCCTCTGCCTCTCTGCCAGGCTCCATGATTTCCAGGCAGACGTTGATGATGCACTGGATCTCCAGCATCTTGGCGGCGCTGAGGATGTGCTTGATGTTGGAGGTGGTGATGGTGAGGGTTGAGGTGTAGGCAAACTCCAGGATGGCAGAAAGTGCTTCAGGCTTGACAAAATCAATCTCATAAACATAGGGCTGGTCTGTTAAAGTGCCTGTGGTGAAGAGTTTTTTGAAGTACTTGCTGCAGGCGGCCAGGACCGACCGATGGGTCCGGTACTCCTGGTCCTGCACGATGAGGATGACGTCGCAGAGGAGACCATCGTGCCGCTGCTCGTTCAGACCACACAAGACTTCACTGCTGTGGTTTGGGAATGGGATCCCGATAAGATCTTCAATGCCATTAGCCATATTCTCATTTAGTGCCCTAGGACGAAACACAGACAGTGAGGAATTACTGGATTGTCTTGATCATGGAATCCTGGACTGGTTTGGGTTGGAAAGGACCTTAAAGACCATCCAGATCCAACCCCCTGCACGGGCAGGGACACCTCCCACCAGCCCAGGCTGCTCCAAGCCCCATCCAACCTGCCCTTCAACACTGCCAGGGATGGGGCAGCCACAGCTTCTCTGGGCAACCTGGGCCAGGCTCTCACCACCCTCACACCAAAGAATCTGTTCCCAATATCTCACCTCAATCTCCCATCTTTTAGCTTGAAACTATCCCCTCTCATTCTCTCACTCCCTGCCCTTGTCAAAAAGTCCCTCCCCAGCTGTTCTGTAGTCCCTTCAGGTACTGGAAGGCTGCTAGAAGATCTCCCTAGAGTAAATCAATAATGTCAAAATCATTCTGCCTTCTCTCACTATCTTCTCCCTTGCCACACTTAGACCTCTGTCATCTCCTCCTGCTTGTGCTGCCCTAGTGCATCTCTAGTCATCTTCACCTCCTTCCAGGTCCTCTATGATTTAACTTCTGTTTCCCTCCATATTTGTCTCCTTCTTTGTCTCCATCCTTCTCTTCCTTGTTCCCATCCCATTCACATTTTCAGAACCACTATAAACTTCCTCTTCTTTTTCACAACCCTACCCTAGGAACCTTGTGCAACCATTCCCTTCCTTATTATGTTTCTTTCACATCTTCCCAGAGCCAACATCTTTCCAGGCACATGTTGGATTTCCCCTGCCAGAAGCTATGTCAGGAATGGGTGATGTTCTCTTGCATCATGCTGCCAAGTGCCAGCACCTACATGGCATAACAAGACCAGCCAGGGAGTGCCCATCTCATCTACACAATTGTTTTTGGGACTGGTACAACTGGATGTCCCAAACTGGTGGGACTACTGGTCACAGACGTTTGCTACAGCAGGAGAGTGGTTTTTAAGAGCCCGCAGGTCTCCAGTTCTGTGTCCTCCTGCTCCTTCATGCCTGGAAACTAGATCATGTCTCCTCAGTGTGTGGACAACCCACACAGGGTTGTTTGCCTGAGGGATCTGGGAATGGGGCAGGCAAGAAAGGAGTTGTGTGCCACCTAACCACCAAGAGAAACACAACCAGGAACCCTACCAGGAGACAACAGCTTGGCCAGGTGGCTGCCTGCTATCTTCACCCAGGAGCTGAGCTTTCTCCCTTCCCAATCCTGTCTGGACTTGTTAGCAGGGTATCAAATGCCCTCTGCATCTGGCAGACACCTTCCCCTGCCAGAGCAGCTCCACCTTCAAAGGGAAATCCAGAAGCAAAAAGTCCACACCCAAAAGGAAAAGTGGTTACATTTTTTTTTTTCTGGCTCTTTTT